GTGCGAATGCTTTGAGTCTGCCTGCCCTTTCATTTTCGTGCCGAGACGCAATCAGTTTTCCTAATCTGGATATAACGTCTTTTTGCGTGCCGAACTAGGAGAGGTGGCCACTCAAAAACGAAAGCACCGAATTCCACCCATATTGAGGCTCTGGACACTTCTAGATCCGTTCTGCATAGTATTTCATTAGGGTATCAAAGCAAGGATACAAATTTACAACCTCACCTACAGTACGCTGCCGCTTTAGAACTCCGCGTGATCTCGCTTCTCGACACCAAAACGAGTGCATATTGAAAATCCTTGGCCTCCATGATAGTGGGAGAATAAATGGTGCACCGCATTTGAATACAAATTGATGGTCACGTCTGAGTAATGGCGAACTACACACATAAAAGTCGTTGCGGCCAAAAACCCTGTCTTTGTGTGTCTCTAATGGGCGATGTGTCAACATCCGGAAGACGAGAGCTACCAACGCAAGTCAACGGTTAGCTTTTTAATTTCGTGTTATCACTTCATGGGTTGTCCTATACGCACCTTCTTCCATCCACAACAACGGGCAGCAAATCGAGCGTGGCTATGTAAACCGTGAAGCGACAATATTTTCGACTGGGCTATCATTTGACTTTTCGAATGTCGGCTGTACACCAGTTCCGCCTAAAATATGCTGCTGTATTCACATCCTGGCAGTAATCCGAAAATAGCGATAATTGGAGATTCACACGGGTTCTGTCTCCATGATGTAGTGTCCAGGTGAAAATTCACCTGGTAACAAGCACTGCCCGCATTGTGGTGCGATACTCGTACCCTTTATGAGCCATTAAATTGTCGCGATGCTGCCGTAGATGTCTCAGGCTCCCGAAGGCCGCCTGATCCCGGAAATTAACAAATTAGATTGCTTGTAGTGTGTTCTTCCTATGCATATTGTGTTCCAATACGTTTCCCGAGTAAAACAGTTGGAATTATTTTGCCCAATTAGCGTTTAGTTTGTTGAACGCGGGGCGATTAAATATCGTGGATTAAGTTATATGCTGTGCACAGTGAAGCCTCCAGTTTTGTTTGTCCTAGACTTTTGTATATATACAATTTTATGCGTGTGTTTGTTGCTACAATTCTCTGGAAAAAGATTTTCTCGCTGTGCAATCCTTGTCAAAAAGGAGGGCTAGGGATTATGGAAGCCGACCACTTTACATTAAAAATAAGGATGGAAAAAAATGATCGCACTTGTTGACTGACGTTGCTTAGCACGGAATCACGCGAATCCCCCTACCTCAGGTTGTAAATAAAAACTTGCCTTTGGGTTTTATTTAACTCCCTTTTCATCTCGCCCAGCATCGTCTATCGCACCGGAATCTTCTGTGACCTTCCCTTGGATTTCTTCTCACTGGTGGTCATAATTGACCAGCGAGTCCTCGGAAATAAGGATTTTTTCCTCTTTTTTTATTGTTTATTGCATTGAGTAACAAAACAGCTAATAGCCAAATGCCTTATTCTGCGCACGCCTATTTTCACTTTGTTCTTTTACACTATCATTTTCCTAGTATTTTCTTAGTATTTTTGCATCCCAGCAACAATCCATATCAATTCTAATTTCACCTTGGCAAAACCGCTCATTTAGCTACCATATTCTTAGGATCAACTTTTTAATTTCTCACTCTTTTTGAACAAAACAAACATTTAATAAGTTATAAGCTAGATGAAGAAAAGGAAGCGTTATTGTGATACGCATTTCGCTTGATACGGGCCAAAACAATGCACTGTGTTTATCTGAATTTGCTGTGCACAATCACACAAATAGTGCTGGTTTCTGGAATACTGCACCGTTCACTTCCCACAGTTTTCCGACAAATGGAATGTCTCAATAGGTCACACTGATAGTTGTATTTCCTAGTATAATTCATACCTTCATTGATGATACAGTCCAGTGAGCAGGAAGTTGTAGGTTTCTAACTGTTGTTTATTGCTCTGTACCATCGTCTCCTATAAGTCATCTCATTTGAACCATTTGCGTGCCATCCGAGCCAACAGTTTAATTCCATCTTGTCGATATGCATTCAGAAAAACCTGTTTCTTCATTTCCATTTCTGATCACGGAAGTGTTTTCCAGAGCGGTAGATTTCGCGTGATATTTCACCGTTCAGACCGCTGCATAGATTGGCGTTCACGATTGCGGCATGGTCTATCCTAATCGCGATAGCGCAGTGAGCCAAAATTAGTTATTTTGAATCTCCAACTTTATCCGGAAATAGAGGATAAGAAACGGTACAAGAAAACACAGTGAACAGCTGTGATAAACACGTAGAGTTTTGTCAAGAAACGAAAAATACCATTATGTTTGCTCACTCACTTTTCTGTGAATATCCCAGGTCCGCAGGTTGCGAGAAATCCAGATGTCGGAAGTCTTCCAAATTTGTGAAAAATCTGATCTGCTGTGGGATTGCTACTACTGCTTGATTCGCAATTGCATGTTTTTACTGGTAAACAGCTGTTATCGAGGAAGCGCTGATCTCTACCTTGCCGTGGCGGTGTTTTCCCACCAAGGTGCGACCACGAAAAACCAAAACCTTCCTGATTGTGGTAGTGGCCACTGGCTCGATTGGGTATCGAGGTGTATTGGACATCTTGAATGTTTGACTCCGACCGAAAAGCGTACGATCTCATGAAGTGGACACCGACCCACCCCCACCCAGTAGACTGCGGTCTTCAGATACAACCCCGTAGTCTTGCTGGCCGGGCTTTGGCTGGTCAATGTATCCGGTCGTGAATTCCCAGAGGAAATAACTTGCTTTGACTAGGGTAACCTTGCAGATCATGGCGCTTTTCCATGATTTGTTTGATACGCATCTTAACTCAGACTTGTGAAAGGGTTTGATATCTTTAGCATTGAGTGGCCACGTCTCATATGGATTTCCATTTAGCAGCACAGTGTTGTCTATATACTGTAAATCCAATAGCATGTCACCGAGAGTTTATAGTGCGTTGTTCTGGTGGTGGTGGTGATGGTGGTTTAGCGGTTTTAGTTGTTTTCACTGCACAGTTGAGAAGAATGAAGGTCACCCAGCGGTGCATCACATCTTCGATCAACTCAACCATGAAGGAATACCAACTAACCTTTGCTCAATTGGCACATAACAATGCTGAATATTAGTTACGGGACTCTTCAGGAACGGGTTGTAAATTCTTGCGTTCGTTATTTCACATCTTTTGTTCATTCCACCATACACCTTACTGCCTTTTCATATGAACAAGTGGTATTTCTATATCCGTCGCGTTTCTGTTTCGGTTCTCATGTGTAGTTGCTGGTTTATTGAGGACCGCAGTGGGAAAAGCCAAACTGTTGGTGTCCGAAAAATTCGTTCAGTTCAGAAATCTGTGCCAGCAAAACTTGGACTGGCTAGCAGCACAACAATCTGGGAGCTCTGTCAAAACGGACGGTCCGGATCTGGTCACATTGGTCAGTGATTTGGATGGGTTCTGGGCTATGGTCATGCTCCAGGTGGACGATGTGCGTGCCCAGTTCGCAAAGGTGAACGAGCTGCGCATCAATGGCTGGCATTTACCCCAGGGAAATGATGATATTGGGAGTAAGGTTAAATCGAACGGAGTCGGTCCTTCGGGTGATGGGAACACTGCTGACGGAACTAAGACGCCGGTTTCCAAGGTATGCTTTCGATTACACCCCTTTCCTCTTATACATATATATATATGTATATATCCCTCCAATATGATGAATCGAATCTACACCTTTTCCCATCAAGCTTTGGCAAAAACCTGCAATCCTTTGGTCTCCACCCGTGCTCCTTTAGCCTCGGCTGATAAACTGTCGCTGTTCCGCTGTAGACGAATCAGATAAAAAAGGATCAGAATAGTCTGAAGTCAACAAATACTGGAACATTCTATTTTCTACAAATGTTGATGTTGCCAATCTTGTTTGAGAAATGAGGTGTGGTGATCGAATGTTGCGCCGTTATGGCATCAAGTACTACACCACATATTAATTGGAGGTTTAAACGATGCACCGGTATCACCAAACCATTTGGCACATCTCGTATGGCCTTGGTGTTTTCAGGGAACCAGTTTTTTGCTGTGCTAAATAATAAGCGGATCAAATAATCAAAAATGCTTACGTGCTGTAATTTACTGAAGACACCTTCCAACCTGTTAAAAAGGAACTGTACCGTGGAAGTAATCGGATTTTATGGTTGACATGCAGCTGTGCATCAAAAGCCCTCCGATGAACGAACACCTTGTCATAGATAAAACCAACTGGCCCCCTATTTACTCAATCATTAAGGCATACAAAATAATCTTTTATGACATTCATATTTCAAGATGCACGCGACAGGTATAAAACATACTATACTATATATATTATATGAAAAATTATTGAATATTGGTTCTTGTATCTTGGGTGAACTGAATTCGATTTCCCCTTTTCGCCAAGTTTGACAATTTGTTTGCTATTCCAGAATATGCCCATTTTAACACGAGAACACGAATTTAGAGGCGAGCGACTCTGAATTTTTTTGCAAATGTTTCATCACCGACCCCGTCACGATGAGACTGCACCTTGACGTGGTGTGATGGCTTGCGCGCCTCCATGACCCTGAGAGCAACACAGAATGGCCGTAGATCCAATCATGACCGAAAGGTCAACGAGTGGAGGCCAGAGGCTCAGTCTCCCAAGCCAGCTGTTTAGACACCTCCTGGCTTCCTTCGTCTATCCATACCCGCCCCTGGAGAGGTCACCCCAGCAAATAAACGTAATGAGAGTTTACCGATTAAAAACCTAGATGAACGTAGGAGCGGAGTACCTGGGGCTTCCTCTCGACGGTGGGAGAAGTCTTCGCATTTCACTGGATGCTACCGCCCGTCCAAGCTCGACAGCCCCCAGTCAATAAGGTACTGTCCCAACCACGTTCCGCTTGTCTCATTGGGTGCATGAGATCGAGGGCCAATCCCGAAAAGTCGACCGACAATCAACGCACCAGCGAACAACACACTTAACCGAAACTCACAGGTCATTGGAAGCTCCCATACGCGTGCTCCGTTCACGCTCCCGCGTTGGATTTGCGCGCCGGCGCCTTGTCGGTTGGACGTTTGAGTCGAAGGCTCCGGTTAAGGTTCCCAAAGAAAAAAAAATCCTTCTTCGGTGTAAGTTACCGTGAAGTATGTCGTGCCCTAAAGTCTTAGACACCCATTTGGAAAACCTCTTCCCGATATATCTAGTTCTTCCTCTCGATCCAGAATTATCCCAGACGCTTCCTGCTTACGGCACCCATCGGATATCATTCAACATTTTAACGGCAAGGCCAAACAGCCAGAAGTCACAGGATTTTTGAAGCCAAAATTCCCTCTTTTCTTAGCCACGTTCAATGTTCGTACACTGTCAGATGGGTCAACAAGCTGCCTTGACTAGAACCCTTGAAACTTTCAATGCGGATGTATGCTGTGTCTCCGAAACACGCATACAAGACCCTACTTCAATCACCTATCTGCGTTCTCCCAATCCAACCTCAACCTAATCTTTCACCCTCCGTTTGCCAGGCGATTCGGTATCCGAAGCTCGTGGTGTTGCTGGTGTTGGGATTTACCAAGTGCCAAGGCTGAACAATCGCTTCTGAACTGAATTCCAGTCAGTAGCCGACTTTGCCCTGTACATCTCAACGGTTCAGTGTTGGTCAGCAGCTACAGAATGAAGCGTCGATGTTTGTTCGTCGTATCGGTCTATGCACCGACCGATTGCAGTACACCTGAAACCAGGGATGAATTCTACAAGGATCTTTCTCAATTAATCCAAAGTGTTCAATCAACGGACGTCGTAGTAGTCGCCCGAGACTTCAATGATCATATGGGATCCCTGGACGAATCAGAAAGGCTTCTTGGCGAATCACATGCTATCCCAGCCAACCGAACGGACAACGGAAATCGCCTACTTCAACTCTGCGCGGACCACGGATTGTTCCTGTTAAGCACAGACTTCTGCCA